TTTTTAGATGTTCTTAATTACATGGATTTTACCCAACACGTCAGACAGCCAACACACAACAGGGGACGCACCCTCGACCTGGTCATTACCTATGGCCTGACTGCGGATGTGTCCTCTGTTGTCGACTTGGCTGTCTCGGACCACTACTGTGTGTTTTTTAACATCACTGGTTTTATACAGCGTGAGACCTCTGTGAGAACCGTGAGGAAGCGACATCTAACCCCTGAAGTGGCTGCAAATTTTATCGACATCCTAAACAACACTCCCCACTTGGTTTTACCTGCCCCCTGTGATTTTATAGCAAATGATTTTAACAGTAGACTTAGTTCTGCGTTGGATCAGGTGGCTCCTTTAAAAACAAAAATCATAAAAACAAAATCTGCACCCCCATGGAGAAATGAAGAAGTACGCAAAATGAAACAAGAGTGCAGGGTGGCAGAACGAAGATGGAGGAAAAATAAAACAACAATCAACTACGAAATATATAAAAACAATCAAAAAGCATACAATTACACAATTAGAAATCATAAGAACAAATACTTTGCAAATCTAATCAGCCAGAACAAAAATAATCCAAAAATCCTTTTTTCAACCATCGACACCATTTTAAACCCTGATTTTAGCATGTCTCTTTTAACCCCCACAGACTCCCTCTGTGAGGATTTTGCAGTCCACTTCACGGGGAAGATAAATACAATCAGATGTAACATTTTATCCAACCGCACTACTGTTTTTAACACATCTGATTGTTTGTCTTCGCCAGAGGAAACACTGGACAGTTTTGTCCTGGTTGATGCTGAGATGCTTGATAAAGTTTTCTCCTCAGTGAGGCCCACCACATGTCTTTTAGATCCAGTCCCCACTCCATTTTTTAAGTCATTTTATGAATCTTTTAGAGAGGAGCTTTTAAACCTGATGAATTGCTCTCTTCAGACTGGGGTCTTTCCTGCAGCCTTCAAAGCGGCTGTGGTGAGACCCCTTCTGAAGAAGAGCAATTTAGATTTTAATGATTTTAACAACTACAGACCGGTATCCAACTTACCATTTTTAAGCAAAATTTTAGAAAAACTTGTTTTTACCCAGCTCAATGCCTTTTTAGATCAGCAGCAAATTTTAGAGAAATTTCAATCAGGTTTTAGGGTGAACCACAGCACAGAGACTGCTCTTTTAAAGATTTTAAACGATCTTAGACTAAGTTATGATTTCAAAAAGGTGACTGTGTTGGTTCTACTGGATCTTAGCGCTGCCTTTGATACAGTAGACCACACAATTCTTTTATCACGCCTACAACACCTCGGCCTCTCTGGTGCTGTCCACAAATGGTTCACTTCTTATTTAACAGACAGATCCTTCATGGTAAGTTTGGATACCTGCTCCTCTCAGGTCCATAAAATCACATGTGGTGTGCCCCAGGGTTCCATTTTAGGTCCAGTCCTTTTTAACCTGTACATGCTCCCTCTTGGCGGTGTCGTCAGGAGACATGGAATTAACTTCCACAGTTATGCAGATGATACTCAGCTGTACATCTCCATGTCTCCTGATGACACCAGGCCAATGGATGCTCTTTTTAACTGCATTTTAGACCTGAAATCCTGGATGGCAGAAAACTTTCTCCAGCTTAACCAGGACAAAACTGAGGTTTTAGTCATCGGTCCTGAGGCCCAGAGAGAGAAACTTTTATCAAAACTCCAATCACACTCTTTTAATCCATCATCACAAGTGAAAAATCTGGGCGTAATCTTTGACTCTGAGCTGACTTTTATTCCTCACATCAAGAGTATCACAAAAATAGGTTTTTATCATCTAAAGAACATCGCCAGAGTCCGCCCCATTCTCTCTCGGGGCAACACGGAGACGCTGATGCATGCTTTTATCACCAGTCGCATTGACTATTGTAATGCCCTGCTCTCTGGTCTTCCCAAAAAGAACATTGCAAGTCTTCAATTACTCCAAAACTCGGCCGCACGTGTCCTGACTAAGACCAGGGGGCGGGACCACATTACACCGGTTTTAAAATCGCTGCATTGGCTCCCCGTGTGTTTCAGAATCGATTTTAAGGTTCTTTTAATGGTTTTTAAATGTCTTAATGGTCTTGGGCCTTCTTATCTTTCAGATTTGCTTTTATCCTATGAACCTTCCCGGCCCCTGCGCTCCTCCGGCAGCAGACTCCTAACCATCCCCAAAGTCAGGACACACACTCACGGCGAGGCATCTTTCCAGCACTACGGCCCCCGTCTCTGGAACAGTCTGCCGGAGGAGCTCAGGGCCGCAGAGAACGTTCATATTTTTAAAAGTAGGCTCAAGACGCACCTTTTTAGAGTAGCTTTTGATTCGTTTTTATTATTCCATTCTATTTATCTTTTATTATTTATTATTTATTATATTGCTATTGCTATTATTCATGTATTGTGTGTTCCTTTTAGTCTCACATTTTAGTGTTTTACTTATTGTATTGTTTTTAGTGTACCCAGTGTTTCCTCTGGAGGAGCCCTCTGCACCGGGAGCAGTGGTCGGTGTGGCTGCGGGGGTCGGACTCTTGGGCCTGGTGGGGGCCTGGGGCCTCGGTTTCATGTCTCCTCTGGGTCCTGTGTCGTCCCCTGTGGCTACGGGCGGCTCTCTGCTCCTGGTGCAGACGGCTCCTTGGATGACGCTTTTTCAGCTGGTTGCATCTGAACCCTGCCAAGTCTCTCATCATGTTTTTATTGTTTTACTGGTGTGTGTGTGTGTGTGTGTGTGTGTGTGTGTGTATGAGTGTTCATGAGCGCGTGTGTGTGTGTTTGTCTGTGGTTTGGGGGGGGTCTGTTGGGTGGTCTGGGGGAGGGGTCTTGGGTCGGCGGGATTGTTTTTAACCAATCTGTAAAGCACTTTGTGTTGCATCTTATGTATGAAAAGCGCTTTATAAATAAAATTTGATTGATTGATTGATTGAAATGTTATGTTATGTGGTTTTTAATTCATTCTGATGGTCACACGTGAATGTGTGACCAAAGGGAGGAGTATGGATATTTTAGAACACTTTTAAGCAACTGTGGTTGAAGTTGAACTCATCATTAGGCCAATATGCACAAGCCAGGGAGTTTACACTTGAATGTTTTGGTTATCTGAAGGAAGAAGCTCCTGGCACCATGGCAGCTGCTGATTGGACTGTCTATGAGTCCTCCATGGTATAATATCAGATGCACACAGCAAATATCTGTTTGTGTTTCGTCTTTACCATCGACAATAAAAAATGTCTTCTGTCTGCGACGCGATCCCAGAACGATCCCAAATTGTCTCATTTATAACATCTGTATTAGTCTGAAATGTTGCAAACAAATCAGAGCAAAACATGTTGTCTTCATCCGATTAGAAAATGTGTAACTTTGTCCTCTGCATTTGACCCATCCTGATGCCACTAAGACCTTTGTCAGGAGCAGTGGTCCAGATGTTGAGGCTGATCGGCTTGGTCAGGACAACCAAAGCTGGAGGATTTACCTATTGTGTATGTTTTTAATGGTATGGGAAACTGGAGCACCAGGAGGAACCCTATGCAGACACAAGGAGAATACTCAAAAAGGCCCCATTTCCGACTGGGACCCAGGATCTTCTTGCTGAGAAGCGAGAGTGCCATCCACTCAGCCACCGTGCCCCAAAAACAACAAGTTATCTTTAGTTTAAGAGCCAACCCTAACTATGATTAACTATTGACTCTGAGTGGGGGTGGCTCTCTCTTTTTTCACTTTTCTGTCCGAATGTTTTAGAACCAGGAACTAGAGTCATGGATTGCAACACATATAGTTATATATGTTTGAAATGTATGAACCCCAGCTTTAATCCGTCCCCTTTTGACCAATTTATGATGAGAGTTTGTTAACCTCTCCACTCACTAAAGTCCAGTCGCGGTCCGCCTCCCTCTCCCAGGACCACCCACACGCACACGGACTGAGCGGGCTCTTTGGTCTTCCCTGGATCCAAACCACATGCTCCAATTAACCCCATGTCAGACCTCTGCACCCCCTGGAGGACTCACAAAGACCAGGACTCAACCAGGACTGAACCAGGACCAGACCGGGACAAAAGCAGGATTTAGGGACAAGTGGAGCATTTAACATCAAAGCCAGGGATTGGGAGAGACTCAGGATAATGCAGGACACATTTGGAAGTCTTTTTGGGACCTCAAAGACCTCCAGTGAATGTCAGCCACTTTACACATTCTTTGCATTCAAAATTTTCTCTCTCTCTGGTCCTTCTCAAGTCTTTGTATCTGGTCTCTCTCTCTCTCCTTTCTATGGTCTCTCTGTGGTCTCTCTCTCTGGTCTATCTGGTCATATTTGCTGCTGCTGAAGTACAATATAAACATCTGTAAATACTCCACAAGTGACAACCAAGTGCAGTTATGGCAATAGTTTTACTTTATTTTCTTTTTACTTTATTATTTTATTTTAATATCTATTATCTTAAATAATAGATAGACCAGAGAGGGCTGGAGAGAGAGACCAGAGAGACCAGAGAGAGACCAGAGAGAGACCAGATAAAGACCAGAGAGAGACCAGAGAGAGACCAGAGAGAGACCAGATAAAGACCAGAGAGAGACCAGAGAGAGGGCTGGAGAGAGACCAGAGAGAGGGCTGGAGAGATACCAGAGATAGACCAGATAGAGACCAGAGAGAGGGCCGGAGAGAGACCAGAGAGAGACCAGAGAGAGGGCTGGAGAGAGACCAGAGAGAGACCAGATAAAGACCAGAGAGAGGGCCAGAGAGAGACCAGAGAGAGACCAGAGAGAGGGCTGGAGAGAGACCAGAGATAGACCAGATAGAGACCAGAGAGAGGGCCGGAGAGAGACCAGAGAGAGACCAGACAGAGACCAGAGAGAGGCCCGGAGAGAGACCAGATAGAAACCAGATAGAGAGACCAGAAAACATGGTCTGATTATGAATAAAAAAAGTGAGGTACCCCAGCTTTAGTTTGACATGTTACAGTCTGGTTGGTCAGTAGTAACAATTTCTGTAGGTGAAGGAGTCTCAGCAGCTGTGACAGTGACACAGTCCTGTAATCTGCTCTGCACTGGGATTACGCACCACCTGTCCACCACACAACACCACCCTACACAACACACACCACACCACCACAAAACACACCACACTGCTCAGGAGACACACAACAGCTGCTGAAGTTTGTGTTCACTTTGGGCCTTTAACATGACCGTGATAATATGTAGTAGCGTTCATGTGACATCACAACATCACACAGAGCCTATAATTTCTCATTGTGGTGGAGAGCATCTGAAATATCCCTCCTGGTAACTATGGTAACACTTCAATTATCAGATAATTTCCCTGTAAATCCTGGATTAATCCCCTTAAAACAAAAACTGTCACAAAGTTTGTCAGCACGAATGAACAATAGTCGCAGTAATTTCTCTCCCTCTCTCTGGTCTTTCTCTGGTCTCTCTTGCTCTCTGGCCTCTGTATCTGGTGTATTCTGTTGGTATCTCTTTGGTCTCTCTCTCTCTGGTCTCTCTTTCGGGTCTCTTTCTCTGGTCTATCTCTCGGTTCTGTCTTTCTCTGGTCTATCTCTCGGTTCTCTCTTTCCGGTCTCTTTCTCTGTTATATCTCTCGGTTCTCTCTCTCAGGTCTCTCTCTCTGGTCTATCTCCTGGTTCTCTCTCTGGTCTATCTCCTTGTTCTCTCTCTCTCTGTTCTCTCTCTCAACTGTGGTCTAATAAATTTCCCATAAATGTGACTAGAAGTGGTGACAATAGACAAATATAAAAAATGAAAAAAAGCCAGGATCCTAGAGAGTGATAAACCAGACGTAGGGGGTTTCTCTCTGCTCTTTCTCTGGCCTCTGTCTCTGGTATCTTCTGTTGGTCTCTCTTTGGTCTCTCTCTCTCTCTCTGGTCTCTTTCTCTGGTCTCTCTCTCTGGTCTCTTTCTCTGTTCTCTCTCTCTGGTCTCTTTCTCTAGTCAGAATCAGAATCATTTTTATTGCCAGGTAAGTAACAGGAGGTCATAGACTTGGAAATTGCTTTGGCTCAGTGCAACAGTCAAAAAGAGATAATAAAAATAAGAATAAAAAACACTTCTAAAGAATAAATTTAAATTTAAAATAGTTACAGTTACTATATACAATATAGAAGTGCACATGGTGCACACAATGTAAGGTGAAAAGAAGTGTTAAGAGTCCAACAGCAGAGGGGAAGAAACTGTTCTTGTGGCGGGAGGTTCTAGTCCTGATGGACCGCAGCCTCCTGCCTGAGGGGAGTGGTTGGAATAGTCCATGTGCAGGGTGAGAGGGGTCGGCTGTGATACGACCAGCCCGGCCATCTCTCGGTTCTCTCTTTCTCTGGTCTATCTCTTGGTTCTTTCTCTCTGGCCTCTCTGATCTCTTTCTCTGGTCTATCACTTTGTTGTCTCTCTTGGTTGTTTCTCTCTGGTCTATATCTTGGTTCTCTCTCTCTCTGTTCTTTGTCTCAACTATGGTCCAATAATTTTCCCATAAAGGTGACTAGAAATGGTGACAATTGACAAATAAAAAAATAAATAAAAATACACCAGGATATAGAGCGTGATAAAACAGGCGGAGGCGGTTTGCGGAGGCTGGAGCTCCAAACACTGCTTCCTCCCGTGCACTCTGGGCACGTGCACATAATCCTGTTAGAGTCATTCATGATCCCTGTGATCTTTCTCCTGTGATCTGCAGAGAGGAGGCTTCCAACGCTCTCTGGGCTTAAGGAAAAGTTTATAGGTTTCCAGGAGACACGTGATCCCATCTGACAGCCGTTAGCACAAGTAAAGTAAGTAATTGTAGTCATTTATTTAACCCTTTCGTTGTGTTAGGGTCTCCAGCGACCCGTTTCATGGTTATAATATGTTATAACTTCCATGTAGTTGATCTTATGAGAACAAGGCTTTATGACATCCTCCACAACACATATATAAACACAGAAAAACTATGTTTTACAATTTTGACATTTCTGAAAGTATCGGCAGAAAAAAAGTTACGACTGTGGTGTTAGGGCCATTTTTGACCCGGCAATATAAAACTGCACTAAACAGGTAAAACTATGCAAAAATCATACATTATCTGATCCTACCTCCGTCCTCCTAGAGAACAAATACTTTCTCACATCAAAGTATGTGACCCCCCCACTCCCACCCCTTCCACATAAATAAACATTTACTCGAGTACAATACAGGTGTGACCCAACCTTCATCCCCTTTCTCCACGAGAACAAATCCTTTCACACAGTACAGTATGTGACCCACGTGTGTCAGAACTGACATACTGACATTTTACACTTTGTGAACAAAGAGATGATATGTTGTACTCACACTTGACATGACTAGACACTTTTTTTGTGCACACATACACAGACAACCCCTTACGTCTCATCAAGAAGATCCTGGGTTCGAATCCTGGACTGAACAGGGCGTTTTTGGGTGTAGTTTTTTTCTCCCTGTGCCTGTGTAGGTTTCCTCCGGGTGCTCCAGTTTCCCCTACCACTAAAAACATGCGCAATAGATAAAATCCTCCAGCGCTGGTCTGACCCAGCCGAGCATCAACATCTGGAGTTGGGTAATGGGTGCAGTACTACAGCGACTACTGCTCCTGACAGAGGCCCTAGTAGCATCAAGATGGGTCAAATGCAGAGAAGGAATTGCCCTTTGGAGATAAATAAAATGCACCTTTACCTTTACGTTATGCAGTCTGTGAGGTTCTTGATCACATCCTTGTGGAGGAAGAGTCTTTGGAGCAGACGGATGTGCACATTATTGTCCCATAGGAAAATTTGACCTCTGCATTTGACCCATCCTGCAAGTTCTACTACTGTGTTCTCTATCAGGAGCAGTTGTTGCTGTAGTACAGTGTGCTTGGACCCATCTCCAGATGATGCTTGGATTGATCAGGACCAGAACTGGAGGATTTTACCCATTGTCCATGTTTTGAGTGGTAGGAAAAACCGGAGCACCTGGAGGAAACCAATGCATACACAGTGAGAACATCCAAACTCCACAAAGGGACATGTACTGACCAGGATTTGAACCCAGAACCTTTTTGCTGAGAAGCAGTAGTGCTATTCTCTCAGCCACAATGCCGCCAGATCAGGCTGAAATAGAAGATGTATCTGAGGATGATTTTGAGGATGATCCACATCAAGATGAAGAAACATCAGATTCAGATGATGAAGTGACTGAATGAACCAGAACAGGGCTTTGTTTCAAAGAATGGGAAGGTTTGGTCTCAAACCCGTATGAAAATGAAGGTAGAGCAACATCAGCAAACATCATCACGAACCCTGGACCCTCTCGGTTTGCAAACTCATAGATCCAAGACATAAAGACTGCATAAGAGCTTTTCAGACCAAACTCCAGAAAACTTTCAGAAAAGTAGTGTTTTCTGAAAATAAAGTCCTTTTCTGACAAATCTATGCGGGTCAAATTTGACTAACTTGCAAAGTTATATTCTAATACTGTTCTATTATAGTCAGAAAACATTATTATCTATGGATTTTACATTTAGTAAATTATTATTGAAAAAACCTTATTTTCAGCTTAAAAATAAGGGACAAGATCTGTCTCGAGGGCCAAAAAAACAAATAAAAAATATATGTCATGACTTTGAATGCATATAATATTTGTTAAGATGTAGTACTATTTACATCAAGTGATAATTCTTTTTTTTTAGTGGTCAGGACTGAGTTAGACCCCGGATCAAAATTGACCCGCTAACAACGGGCAGTGGTGCTGGTTCCTAACACAACATGAGGGTTAAGACTTCTGTTAAAAAGACAACAAAAGACACAAGAGATGTATAAAAGGCTCGGAAGAAATACATGCATATTTAATTCCAACCTCTCTCATGCAACACAACATTACACACACACAAACACACACACACACTCACACACACACACTATATTTTATTCAAATACTTACATTCATAAATACATTTTTATTATTTTCATTTGTTTTGGTAAAAGTCTAGTTTCCTGGCACCATAGCACTCCAACTTCGCGTCGTCCTCGCTCTGTTATTTCTCTGAACTCTCTCTAGTCTCTTACTCTACATGGTCTCTCTCTCTAGTCTCGCTCTGGTCTCTCTCGAGTCTCTCTCTGGTCGCTTTCTAGTTTCTCTCTCTGGTCTCTCTCTTCCTTGTCTCTCTCTAGTCTCTCCCTCGTCTCTCTCTAGTCTCTCTGTTCCCTCTCTGGTCTGTCACTTTCTGGCCTCTGTCTCTGGGTTAGGGTTATCTCTCTGGTCTCTCAACTATGGCCTCATTATTTTCTCTCTTATTATAAAAAGTCTGTGTGAGATTTTAGCGCTGACTTGTTCTGTTTTTGGTAAAAGTCTGTAACTTCCTGTTTCCTGGCGCCACACAACTCCGGCTCCACGTCCTGCTGCAGAGGTCAGACTCCGATCCCATCAAAGACAGAAAGTTACACAATTACAGCCTTTAGAACCACTGGAACAAGTACAACAACAAGAAATTATAGTAAGAGTTACAGTATATAATGCACGGGTCTTCAACTTGAGAAAATTGAAAGAGCTGTGTGGCAGCAGGTTTTCATTCCAACCAAGCAGGAGCACACCAGACTCAACCCATGTCAGGATAAGACTGGACTGGGTGGAATCTGGTCAACCCCCAGGTCTCCAAGATGTCTGCCCATTCAGATCAATGGCCTGTCCTCATTGGCTCAAACTCGCACCATGGACGTAGCGAACATTAGTTATTGATTTTTCTCAACACTTGAACCAATACAAGTATGTTTTCTATATTATTCTCGAGCTTGAACTGTTTGATTCTCTGATCTGTGTTGGCGAATTCGACGATCGTGAAAAGTCCTCTGAGATCCTGTTGAGATTTAGGGCTATACAAGAATAAATTGAATTGAATTGAAGTGACACATTCTGGTAAATTCTGGTTAATCTGAATGATAAATTCGGGAAAAAAAAAAATGTTCGGAGACAAGAGACACTAAAATCCACACAAACATTGCTCTTTGTGAAAGCTGTAGGTTCATATCTACAGGTATCATACATTCATGGGCGGCTTGGTGGGTGAGTGGTTAACGCTTTCCTTTTGACTTTTTATTATGATTTTATGA